AAAAGTCAGTTTGAAGATATCCGATTTAAAGATTTTATGATCAGCAATTAGAATTTTTACTTGATTTAGCAATTATGTTTGAAAAAATGACACGAAATTGCACGTTCGCAATACAATACTTTTTCTTTGTACTAATAAAAAGTAATGTATTGCGAACGTGTTTTCTGTGACCATTATTATATTACAGTATTAGTTATATAGACTATAATCATATTTTTAGAGAATATTACAATAATACTTTTATTTCTTTGTTATTTTTATGTTGAGAAGAGCAAGAAAGACGTTTAAATATATTCTTTTTTTTTACAAGGTCTTAGAGTTTTATTTTGTAATAAAACATTGTTTAAAATTTGCACCACATAATTTTATTAAAATTTCATGCTAGAGGTCAATTGTAGTTTTAGGTGAAGAAATTATGAAATAACAATGTTTATAAAATAGTCAAGAAAATTCATAATTCAAAAGGATGCGGTGTAAAGTCAAGGTCAATGACTTGATTTTTAAACTTAAGGCAAGGCCAAGGACTAACATCTCTGAAAAAAGCATGAAAACGAAAAAAAAAAAAAAAAAAATACGCAGTACTAGTCCGAGTGACAAGCCCCATCACGCCTTCAAGGTGTACGTTATAATAAAATAAAAACAACCTTATTTTGTCTTGCAAAGTCTTGCAAAACGTATACGACCTAGATCAAACATCTATATAGGCTCATCAGGTCTTATTATACCAGGTTTATTATACTTATAGTATTATTTTTGTAGGTATAGTACTACTGTCGCAAAAAAATGTACATAATTATCTGAAAACGCTAAGGATTTATTTTTCTTACATGATGCATTTGTTAATGTACCGTTTTACGAGTCTCTTTAAACATCTTTAAATGATTTAAACATTAATCTTTAAATTAAAGATGAATATTTAAATCATTTAAAGATATATATATATATATATATATATATATATATATATATATATTTTCTCTCTTATAAACTGATTAGCTTTAGGCTGAAGCTTATCGCTAAAAATCAATCTGCCGCAATCCTGACCTCTATAAGTATAAATGACATGAGTTAGTTATGTTCATTTTAAAAATCTTCTTGGCTATATATTTTTTAGGTATCTACATCATAATAAATACATGATTTTAAAGTTTGATTAATAATTTTTAGTATTAGCAAATATTCAACGAAAATTTATAATAAAATTAAAGATGTCTTAATACAAAGTGCTTGTTTGGACATTTAAAAGGTTTTAGTAATGAAAAACAAGAGCAGAATAATTTTGTCTAGCATATGTCTAATATCCAGCCCATTGTGCACTGGTCGGAAAAATAACTCTAGAACCTAACTGTTTACATATCTATGAAAAAAAATGTAAAAAAATAAATAAATAATGAAATAATGGATAATGGAATTTTGCCGCCCGCCCGCATACTTTACCGTTTTTTTTTAGGACGGGAAACAACTTTGCAATTCAAAGTGGCCTAATATATTCTTTTATATTCTTCATATTCTTTTAGATAAAATTTTATATTCTTTTATATTCCTAATAATATTCTTTTATAGTCTTAATATTCTTTTAGATAAAAAGCAGATATTTGTTTAACAATCATTGTTAAACTCATCAATCAATCTCAGATTGATTTTTGCAAACAAAAAATTCATTTTTTTAAACAAAACAATCTCAGAAACATTTTGAAAATCTTTGGATATCACTATATCTAGTAAGGTATTTATGTCTTCAATCGTGACATTTGTATTTAAAAATTTTTGTATAATTTCTGTAGTTTTTTTTATTGTCTGAAACTGAAAAGTGTTATCCTTTAAACATTAGGATAATAATTTTAGCATGTTGTCAAATGTGCCAACAGGTAACATTCGCAGTATTTTAAATACTCAGTATTTTAGTGTGGTTATTAATAACATACCCCATCACAGTACTGTTGAGCAAATGGCTCATGAATTAGGAAGTATATCAGAATTACAAGCAGCAGAATGGGCTATCAATAATTCTCAGCTTACTCTTGGATTTAATGCAACAACACAAGAAGGTGTTTATATAAATATTGCTCACCTTATGTCTAAAGATAAATGCCTTGTTATTGCTCTGGATCAATGCCCATGAGGAACAGCTGATGATTACATTTTTGGGCATTACATTGTACTGATTACATTGTATTGATTACATTGTAGGGCAGTAGATCATCTAGTTTTCATTTATTCAGATTTGCATTTACATAATTATGATGAGTGTCATTAATTGAATATTGAAAATATTTCCATCACAATATCAGACAGAGTTGCAGTTAACCATCTGACCATAAGCAAAGTTAGTGCAACTTGGGGTAAAGCTCTGAATTAATTGAATTTTTATTTGCACCCTATTGATATAATTGCTACTGAATGTCGCTCAGCATTGAAGTGTCTAGAGACAGAAAAGTTAAATTATTTGGCAATGATTATGTAGCTGTCAAAATTGATTTGGCTATGAATAAGATGATGTTTAAAGACGGTGAAAGTGATCTAGAGGGATTTGTTACTTTTTTAGATCTCAAAAAACTACCTAGGTGTATCATCCCTAGATATCAAGGAAACCGTCTTCATAATATCTTTTTAATACTTGTCATATATTTATTAAACAATATGCTGATTTTCTAAATTTTCTGATCACTGGAACAGTAAAATGTGACAGTTTGCAAGCAGCTCTGCGAGAAGCATTTTGTAATGCTGCCGCTATAAAAAAAATGTGTGATCAACATGACTTCAGCTTGTCTTAATGCAGTAAAGGATGTATTGATTAGACAATGTAAAAGGTACTTCTCCCTTTCCATTACAGAGACACTCAAGCAAGAAACAGTTAGAGCAAGGTTTCACAATATAGATAGTGAAGAGTTAATTGGTATGTTTAGTGAATCTAAAGGAAGATCCCCTAATGCAACAATTTTATATAATTCTTGCAAAATAAGATGAAAAAAGAATAGGAATATTTATTATCTTGATAGTTTAGACTATTAACTAAGTAAAGAAAATGTAATTAATGGTCCATTTTCACAGCACGTAAAGAAAGAAAGAGAAATCTCCTACAACATGCTCAAATTCAATCTGTATTATATAAGAGACAGACATGCAAGCATCAAATGTTGGATGAACAAGAAAAAAGGAAATTATAACAAAAACTTAAGTTAATGACTTTCAGCCAGATTAAGAATTTGTATAAACAATTGTCTACAAAGCAACTGGATGATTTAGATGATGTTATGTCTGACAGATTTGTTAGTAAAAAACTATATCATGAATGATATGATATTGAACAATTGAAGTATACGATGGTAGAGTAGAAAAAGTAAGAAAAAGATTGCATGACAGAATTTACACTATCTCTTACTGGAAAAAAGATGAATCTGTTTCTGAAGTTGGTGATTGTTGCATGAAAAAATTCCAGCTGGCCCCAGATGTTGTATCAGGAGAATTTTTTTTGTTGTTATTAATATTAATGTGTATTATTTGTTTTTAATGTTAATATGTATTGTTTTCATAATTGTAAGGTTTATTTAGTCCAAAATAGATAATGTACAAATGTTAGAACTTGAAAAGTCTTAACATTTGAAAAGTATTGCAAGTTTTGTGACTTATAAAATTGGTACCGCAAGTGTTGTTTCTTGCACAAATTATTAATAGACGGCTCTGGCTTACCTTCTTGTGATGTCTATCGTTAAAAATGGTTAATATTTTGTTTCATTTGTGGAATTTCAAATTGTTTACTAAAAGCCAAGATACTAATTAATTACAATGAGTATTTTGTTTACACCAAATTACATAATTTTAAGTATTGTATTTTTAAAACATTTTACATGTTTTTTTAGGTTAAATGTTAAAGAATCAAACAGCCTTTTGCCTAAGAATTTAAATACTCTTACACATCTTGTATTAAAAATTAAAGTGTTAAAATTTTTGTTTATTTTTATTTCTTTTAATTTTAACAATATTTTTCAATTTAAAGTTATAAAAAAATTTTTAGTTTGGAGGGGCACTTTCTCTTTCCTATGTGAAACTAGATAAACATTTGCTTTTTGTAAAGTGGTAAAATGTCTGTTTATAATAATTTTTGACGTTTGAAAGTGTAAACAAATTTTTCTTTTTTTAAATGACAAAAATTGACAAAAAAAATGGAGTGGGGGGGCGGGGGGGCGGGGAGGGGCAGCGGGCTAACGCCCCCACCTCTCAAGTAAAAGTATACCATACTAACTAGTTGTAATGTAGTAAAGTATTATTATTTTTTTAAGTTGGAAGGAGATTCAGGGAGGGGCGGTGCTGCGCGGGCGTACGCCCCTCACCTTGACTCAAGTTATACACCACTAACCACTAGTTGTAAAGTACAACTATTGGTTAGTGAAACTTAAATTTTATTTTTTGTTCTAGTTTACTTATCTAATTAGAGATAATATTATTTTTAAAAAAAGAATTATTTTTGTTAATAATACTTGTTAAATACAAGTTACCAGTACGTGTTAGTACAAGCACCACCACATCCACCCTTAACTCAAAGTTACACATCTCATATATGGTGGTGAGCTGGGATCAAAATATTGGAACTTCTGTTTGATAAAAAAGACAAATTTCAGTATTAAAATACTTTTTATGATAAAATATTCAATTTATTGGTGGTTAAAGTTGTAGTTCAGGGCCCCCTCTAGCCGTCCAGTCACACCCTATGGCTAGATGCTACTATAAAATTGTAGCCGACTTTTACATCTTTCTTTTGATACCAAATTATAGAAATTTCAACTAGAATTTGTATATATATATAAATATATATATAATATATATATATATATATATATATATATATATATATATATATATATATATAATATATATATATATATATTATATATATATATTTATATATATATACATATATATATATATATATATATATATATATAATATATATATATGTATTTTTTATAATGGTTTTTTATATATGTATGTATATATATATGTACACATATATATATATATATATATATATATAAATTATGCTAGTGTATTCTACAAATAGAGTGATGTCTGCAATATTCTTAAAGAACAGAGCAATCAGGGCTGTGGAGTCATGGAGTTGGAGTTGCGACATTGTTAGTGGGGTCAGAGTCGCTAAACAAAATCACGACTCCGGATCCAATAGTAAAACTTCTCGGTATTGCATGTTCATATACAAAATATTTAACCTTTAAAGAACTTTTCATATTTCACAAACCTTTAAAGAACTTTTCATATTTCACAAAAAAAATATTTTGTAATTATCGCGTAATATTTTTAAAAGAATTCAAAGAAATGGTTATTCAATTTTTAATCAAAATTCAAAAAAATTTTGCTTTGGAGTCGGAGTCGTTCTCTAAAAATTTCAGCGAATAAAAGTTGGTACTTTTTTTTTCCAACTCCACATGTCTGTGAGCAATAATTTGTAATAAAACTTTATTACAATAATTTGTAATAAAACTTATCTAATTCTCTTCGACAGTTTGAATCTCCATCAGTAGGTTCATCAGGAAGCTTCCTGATGAAACCACTGATGAAGAAACAAGGTGACAAAGAGAATTAGACAAATGTTTTTACTAATTTATATAAATATATATATATTTTTTACATGAACTTTACTTGTTTATATCTTTTTTTAAATTAAGCATGAAACTTAAGATTTTTTGCATTATTCAGTTTAAATCTACCTTTTCCAACCATTTATAGAAAGTACTATTTACTACTTTATATGCTATTTATATGGCTTCACTTATATATTTTACTTTTCAGAGTTTCTGAGAAAAGTTGTTTCAACTTGCTGAAATTAAAAAAATTTTAGTAAATAAAACTGCACAGTTCTCTAATGATCCAGAAAGTTATAAACAACTTAAAAGTTCAGATGAACTTAATGTTTTGAAAAGAAAAATTGCAAATGGAGATATCCAATGCATCACTTTTGTATGCATGAGTTTCATCTTTATAGTTTATATGTTATATTATTACAATATTTCTTTTGAATTGTCATGAACATTTTCAATGTTTCTTTCGCACTGTTTCTTTTTAGGTAAAACAGTTATCATTAGTTGGCGGTAAAAATTCAGTTGATACAATTAAAAATATTTTGCTCTTGTAAGTCATTAGCTTAAGTTTGAATTTTAACATTTATGTTTGACAGCATGACATTAATCATCTTTTTTTATATGTAGACTGACAACAGATACTATTTTCAGAATGCGGCATGAATGGTCTTAAAAAGAAAAAAATGTTTAAAAAAGTTGACAAGTCTACGTATCGCCTATTCTCATTAGCTTATTATTGTGTTTAATTTACTTTTAAAATTAAAAACGATCTTTTGATTAAAAAAATTATTTCTCAATTTCTTTGGCTATGGAACATGACGTATTTTATTTTATGAACTATGTCTTGTTGTTTTTATTAGATGCTACTTCAAAGTCAAATAAAAGTTTAACCAAAATGGATCTCATGCAACTTATTGGGAAATTAATTAGGCATTCTTCTGACCGATTCAAGAGAAAATCCACATATATTGATATTGATCAATGATGGCTTAATTAACTTCAATCAACTATTGTGTTTTTTATTTATTTTGCATTTTTCAGTAATTTTCTTTTTACTTATATACTATCGATTATACTCTACAAAATATATTAGTTTTTAATTTGGAAAGTGTAACTTTGTTTGAATAATTTTTCTAAGTTTTTGTAAAACTAATAATATATTTTAAATATATGAAATTACACTTTATGAACTTTGATTTCTCTTTATACCTTCACTTGCCATCTAAGGTGTGTATTGCTTATCATTGCATTTTTATATAACTTTTAAAAGAATGTTTAGGTAAATTTACGTCTCTAGGACGTCTGAATAAGACGTCCTTAATTCTTTCACATGAGACCTACCAGAGACGTCCATAGGACGGCTGAAAAGACGTCTCTATAACGTCTACAATAAACGTCCCTAGGACGTTTTGAAAAGACGTCTTTAGGACGTCTGGAATAGACGTTTCTCAGGTCTTTCATTTGAGAGTAACTAAGGACGTCTTACGGACGAGACTTAAGACGTCTTATAAACGTCCTTAGGACGTCAAAATGCCTACTGGGTAAGATTTTCATATAGTTTATCTAATCATAAGATTATATTTATAAAATATTTTAAAGAGTCATTTGCTTATTATCTTTTCTTATTTTATATTCTTTAGTGGCATCAAAACTCAGTAGCAATGGTTAATTAGCAACATATATGGTCATATGGTTTCGATGAAAATTTTATTTTTTTAAAATAGTTCTTACGTATCTATCATAAAATAGTTTATTTAACTAAGATTATTATATATTCAAAATTATAAGGTGTCATTTGTTTATTATTCTTTTTATTTTTCAACACCAAGTAGCATTAATACTGTTATATATTTTCAAAGTAATTATAAATGATCAATAAAATAATTTTCTATAAAAATCTAATAATTGCAAAAAATAATGCCAAAATTTTTAAAAATAGTTATAAATTCCACACTCACTTATAAAAATAATTTTGACTAAGTTTTGTCTTTATACTCTACATAATTTTTCTTTATCCTTATCAAATACAGGGGTGAGGAGTCGTAAAAAAAAGTACCAACTCCGACTCCGACTACAATCGTTGAAAATTTCAGAGTACGACTCCGACTCCAACTCCGACGAAATACAACCCCAAATATAACGGTTGAACTGTTAGTTTATTTTTTCTCAATATAACACCAATATAACGCCAGGGTTGAGCAAATATAACGCCAAATATAACGTCAAATATAACGCCAAATATAACGGATAACAAGCGTTATATTTGCTCAACTCTGGTCTTATTTTTTTTTTGTTATTTTAGCGTTAGTTTTTTTAGTGTGAACATGAAACTTGTCATTTTTTTAAAGCTAGACAGTAGTTTTGCCATTATGAATAAGTTTCACTTGCAATTTTTTTCTATTTTAATATTTGAATCTGTTCATAATTAAAAATCGTAGAAGTTGCAATTGCTAAAGTCGTAAAATTAAATCATTTATACTTTCCTTTTAGTTTATTACAATACGTTTATTGTTATTTTTTTGTTAATTTATTTTTCACTTTTTTATGTGACAAATTGCACTATCAACATAATCAAAGTTGTGCGGCCGTGGCGCAGTGGTTAGAGCGCTTGCTTTATAAACAGTAGATCCATGTTCGAAACGAGCTTTGGACACATTTCGCGTCACGGTAATGAAGGAGGCGTAAACTTCCTGGTTAAATGCAATTCCGCGGTGCTCTGTGACAAGACCGTTAGGTCTTCTTGGGGCACCTAAATAACAAATAAAAAATAATAAAATTAAAAAAAGAATTAAATAAGCGTAAAAGTTGCAATGCAATTGCAACTTAAACGATTTTAAAAATGTTTAAAACGAAATTACTGAAAAATATTGAAAGCCTTCAAAAGGAGCTGTTTTTATTTTATATATATTTCTATTAGAAAACTATGTGAAAATGGGGATGCTTGTAAAACAATATATGTTCTCTTTTAATCAAAAACATTGCAACTCTTGTCTCATTCAAAAAAAAAGCAAAAAAAAGGGCCAGTATGGAAGATTCAATATACTTCAATATATTTCAGTGATTTTGGTTTTAATATTTTTCACGCCAATTTTCTCGTTATTCCTAAACCGAAATTCCAAGATTGAATAATGACCGAGATTTCCGAGACAAGCAAGGTCTGAAAGTGTAGTTCTAATTCATTTTGTAACAATGTGACTAATTATATATTCATAGCACTCTATTAATTTCTTCTTCAAATTAAAAGTGATTCAACATATGCAACATTTTTTATGGATTCACAGTGATTTATATCAACACTTTTACAGATTCGAATAACATTAATTACAAACTTTTGACTTTATCTAAAGTAATTTGTTTTTTAATCAATAAAAAAATGAATACAAAGAAATATTTCATTTCAAAGAAAAAAAATCTACATTTCAAAGTGAAAAAATCTATTTTCATGCTCAAGATAACCCAAAGAGGATAACCAGAACAATCCTTCCAGTAATGGTTAAATGTTTATTTGTAGAACTTATATTTATTGTAAGTATGGTACCGGTGTCTAATTTCGAATCTGATTTCCAATACAGTGTTGTTGCTAATGTAGTTAAATCTATTGAAAAGCGCAGTGGAAAAGGTATTTCCGTAATTTACAATAGTAAATTATCAAGTAAATAGACATTTTTTAAACTCTTTTTGATACAACTCCTAATGAACCATGGAGAACTAAAACAAATTTTTGTTATGTCATTATGCCCACTTATGGAAGAATATACGTAAAAAATGGCTTACTGAAAAGACTTCATATCTTTAATAAATAATTAAATCAAATAAATCACTTAACGAATAACCTGAAAAGGTTTCGGTAAAGCTCAGGATATAATTGCTAAGACTATTATCTTGAGAGTTGTTTCGACTGATTATAAAAATTAAACTTATCACATCTTTTCTATATTAAACAAGTTAGCCATATTTCCAAAGTCTGTAGAAAGGCAAAATGTGAAACTAGTATTAAGTGTTTTTTTGAAGAAACACTTAGAGCTTTGAATTATAAATAAGGAGCAAGTTAAAGACACTGTGGTTTTTCTACAATTTTTTTTACTGATACGTGAAAAATTATGAATTTACAAAGAATGTCTGATGATGTAAAATTGCAAGAGCATCATTCTTATTATAAATGTATTCGACAACTAAGTGAAGAAGAGAGTGAATTTTTTTGACATACTGAATGACTTAGAAGAGTCTGTAAAGTAAGACAGCAAAATGGGGTGCGTTTGTGTTGCTGGATACATTGTTCACAAAAGCAAAATGGATAATGCTGAAGATACTTTTATTTATTTAAAAATGCATGGTAGTTATTTAAAAGAACTAAATAGGGGAGGTTTAAAACTTCCTGTTGATACATTTGGTCAGTGAGCGTTTTTCTGTTACACTTCATTTATGAAACTAGATTTCACTGTTATGGTTTGTCAAAAATCAGTATCTAAATATTTTAATTTGATTGATCAATTTTATTTTTACTATGTTCTTCTAAAAATAAACATTTGTTGTAGAATCTTATCTTATATATATTTAAAATATTTAAATATTTATATTATATATATATATATATATATATATATATATATATATATATATATATATATATATATATATATATATATATATATATATATATATTATGTATATACTCAGAGGCGATTCTACGAATAAAATGAGGAGGGGGGGGCAAATCCTCAAAAAAGTGCCGACTAGCTTCTTTAAAAAAAAAATTCCTCAAAATGAAAATTGAACCGACTGAATTGTGTCGAATAGCCGACTGCCGACTAAATTCGTAAAAAAACCAACTATAACCTGCAAATGGGGAGTGTACCCCCTCCCCCCCCCCCCTTCGTAAAATCGCCTTTGTATATACTTAAAATATATATATATAAAATTGACCACTCTGCGTTCAAAGAAAGAACCTTCTCAAAAAGTATTAAAGCTGCAATTAAAATTAAAAAATAATTTTATTTTTTTTAATATAGAAGAAAATTAAAATAAAAAATTTATTTTGTGTCTTTTTTTTTTCCAGAAAAAATGGTGCTTTTAGTCAGCCTCGAGTCTTTCCGTTCGATTGCGCGATTGCGAGGCCTCGTAAAATAGCCTTAGTTTGCAATCACGTTGCCATCTTGCATTTCAAATTTCGCGTTTTTAAATCCGTGCTAATTTATGCAGTTTATTTGAGATTGTGAAGTTTCCTGCGAAGACTCTATGCACATTGTGCAAATGCATTTGAAATAGAAACTACTAAAGACAATCTATTTTATATATCTATAAAATATATCTAAATTCCTAGTTTGATATATTACGTAACTGCTGCCAGTTATGATAAAAACAATAAACTTCCTATTTTCAAAAAAATGTAAGTAAGTTTTAGTATTCAAAAATAAGTTTAAAAACTTCATTTTTTTGTTTCGTAGTTTCATCTATTAAAACTATTAAATAGATGCTTGATAATATTATTATACCCATACTTAACTTATATTTATCAATAAACTCAAACGAAAGATAATAATGCTTATAAAAAAAGCTTATAATAATGCTTATAAAAAAATGCATATTGAAAAAAGTCTTTATTGACTTATATTCAAGTCAATAAAAACTTTTTTCAAATTATGAACAAAATTATTATTCTCAGAAAAAATTTACTTAGCACAAAGGTTTTCTTAAATTAAAATTGAATAATATAATATTTTACCTATATTTTAACAACAAATCATTTTGTTAGATACTTCATTTTGTTAGATAATATACAAGATTAATTATATTTTGACTACATCTGTCAGTTTCTTTCAAAGTGTTATTTTTAGACCTTTTTATAATTTGTTTCTCAGCCCGTTTATATGTATAAGGTTTTTTGTTTAAAAAAAAAAACTAATTTTCTTTTCTTTTCTTTTTGGAAATAAACAACTTAGTTTATTAAATAAAGTATTTACTTAAAAGTTCGCACTGTAAAAATTTGTAATAAAACAAGTTTTTAATATGTTTTTTAATAATTTTAAATAATTTTAAAATTATATATCTTGTATATAAAGTAATAAAAACTTATTAAAATACTTTTTCTTTACATTTTTATTTTATCATACTTTATCATTCTCTTTGAGAATAATATAATGAGATTTATCAATCAATATCAGAAACGTTTTACTGATAAAATATTAGATTTATCTGTAAATTAAAGACTTAAAACCTTTGATAATAATAGTGAAAAAACTGTTTGGCATTAGTTAGAGGGGTCAAAGTGATCTCCTTATATTTAAAGAATTACAACCACGAATATGATTTTTAGCAGGTATAAAACAAGATTCAGTTAAGCACTTGTTAAATAGTCTAGAGAGTATTAAATAGAGTTCTTTTATACCTCTTATCATTTTTTAAAGTTTATCTTATACCTCCTATTATTTTATATTTATTTACTTTTAAATAGTTATATCTCTATGCATATGTATATTTGTGTTAAAGTGAGTTAAACATTTGTATTTAATGAAGATTTTTGTTTACTTAAATATCCCCTTTTTAGTTTTAGATAAACTTTAATGATAAAACTACTGTTGACTATGATTGTGCCTAAAATTTTTCTTTTTAAAATAAGTCTGTGAATATATATATATATATATATATATATATATATATATATATATATATATATATATATATATATATATATATATATATATATATATATATATATATATATATATATATATATATATATATATATATATATATATATATAGTATTGCATACTAAGGTAAGCAATCTGACGTCATACTGAAATAGCCTGCTGCTGGGGGCTTCAGTACATGCATCGACTGACAAATAGCCTGACTCGCAGTGGAGTGCTGCTACATCGATTGAGGGTTTATGATGGGGAAGCAATCGTTTTATTCATCATTCTTTGTTTTTTCTTCTTCTTTTTCAAAAAAACAGTATAGCTTAAGGTAAGCAGAAAAAGTGAGCAAATGCTTATCAAAACACGCTTTAGTAAGTGTATATATATATATATATATATATATATATATATATATATATATATATATATATATTTATTTATTTATTTATTTATTTATTTTAGAAAAAAAAATTGGGCGGTGGTACCCCCTGTTTCTGCAGACTTTAGCGGAAAATCAGCGTTTTTTTTTTGCGATATTTGCCATAAAAACTAGAGATGTACCGATTAATCGGCATCGGCTTAATCTGCCACTTTTTGCACAATCGGTATCGGCATCGGTCTTTCCTTATCAATTTACCGATTTTCCAACCGATGGCATTTTTATATTTTTATCCCTAAAATTGTATTTATTTTTTGAAAGTTTTCTTTTCATAGTTAAAAAAAAATAAAAAATGTATATTTATTATTAAAAAAGTAAAAAATGTTTATTTTTGAAATAAAGGTTTGACTCTGATTTGGGTCCAAGTATTTCCTTACCAGTTCTGATTCCATGAAAAATTTTACACGATTTAAAGTTGTATGGTTTTATATTTTCAAATTATAATAGCTAGTTAATCTATCGGCATCGGTATCGGCCTTTTCCTATCCATCGGCATCGGTATCGGCATCGGCCAAAAATGTGCAATCGGTACATCACTAATAAAAACGTAAAAAAAAAGGTCCTCAAATTTTAATTTGGGGACCTTTTTACCCAAATTCAATTGACACTGTCGAAAACATATATATATATATATATATATATATATATATATATATATATATATATATATATATATATATATATATATATATATATATATATATATATATATATTGTTGTTGTATGCTTTAATTTTAAAAATACTTAACTCTTGATCATTGTAGAGTGTTCAATATTTAAGAAATATTTATTTTTTCAAAAACAGAGTGTTTTATGTTTAAATATAGAAAAAACAACTTTTAATGGAACTTAAAGTTTTATGCCTATCGGCAACCATTAGCCATGAAGTTCTTCATGAAGTACTTCATCATCATGAAGTACTTCATACCATGAAGTACTTCATACCATGAAGTACTTCATACCATGAAGTACTTTATACCATGAAGTACTTCATACCATAAAGTACTTTATACCATGAAGTACTTCACACCATGAAGTACTTCATACCATGAAGTACTTCTTACCATGAAGTACTTCATACCATGAAGTACTTCATACCATGAAGTACTTCATACCATGAAGTACTTCATACCATGAAGTACTTCATACCATGAAGTACTTCATACCATGAAGTACTTCATACCATGAAGTACTTCATACCATGAAGTACTTCATACCATGAAGTACTTCATACCATGAAGTACTTCATACCATGAAGTACTTCCTACCATGAAGTACTTCCTACCATGAAGTACTTCATACCATGAAGTACATCATACCATGAAGTACTTCATACCATGAAGTACTTCATCATTAGCCATGAAGGTACTTCATCATCAGCCATGAAGGTACTTTATCATCAGCCATGAAGGTACTTTATCATCAGCCATGAAGGTACTTCATGGCTGATGATTGCCGATAAGCATGAAACTTTAAGTTCCACTGAAACTTTAAGTTTAAATATTTAAATATATATAAATAATTATTTTGTATTTAGATTATTAGTTTACATTTTAATACGTAATAACTGCCGTGTTTTAATATTATTAAAAAAATCAATTTTTTTACGATTTTTCAGGTCAATTTTTTAAAGACGTTTTTGTAAAATATGATTATTATTTTGAAAATTTTTATAAAATTTCAGTTCTTTTGAGACCCAACATAGCATACTTTTAAAGAAATTTTTCTATAATATTAGGGACCTGTCTGATATTTAAAGGTAAAAATAGCGCAGTTCCCTTTGTCTTATATTTCTATTTTTTGTTCATTTACAGGCAGACACATTTTTATTAAGATAGATTTTAGATTTTATTCAATAATTATTTTTAACTTCATTCCAAGATTAACAAGAACTGTTTTACTTTTAACAACAAGTAAAACAGTTCTTGTTAATCTTGGAATGAAAATTGAATTGATTCTAGTGTTGATAGAAATGACGGGCTCCTTGAGTAGCCAGAAGGCCAGAAGTCTGTGATAATTCATGTGCAATGCCGTAAGTCTGTGATAATTCATGTGCAATGCCGTAAAGCGTATATTCGGAAGAGTGCTATTGCAGCATTTAAAAAACAGCAACAAATGTATCAAGTCAGTATATCCGAAATTGGTCCACCTCGTACCAGAGCTTGTGTGAGTGAAACCAGTTTTTGGTTTAAAATATCTAGTTTATTCTGCTGCAACGAAGTGAATGAATAGGCTGAAAAAAAGAAAGCACAAAATGTTTGGCGTAAAATTTATAAAATTGTTACCCTTGAATTCAAAGAATGGGCGGAGTTGGTCTGATGACGTAGCAAAAAATGTTACTGCACGCATTGAGTATGAACATGATTTAGTTGCTGCTGAGACTAGGTACCATAATAAAATCGGTTGTCCTTAAGATGAATATACGAATGATTTTATGGAAGAAATAGTTAGATACATTGAAAATAGTGATGATAGTCAGTTTTTATTGGAATTAAGAAGTATTTGCAAAAATCCAGATTTAGATAACAGAACAATTAAGATACGAATGAAATTCAAGTTTGGTAATAAAAATATTAACACTGTAAAACCGGGCAGATTAACTTTCATTTGTTTTTTTGACAATCATTCCGATATTCTTAACCCAGTTTGGTATGAGAAAATAATAAAGAACAACAATTTCAAATCTTAAAAATTGTGGCAACAATTATTTAAAAGGACATTTAATTATTAATCTTTGATATTATCCTTAGCCTAATCTAGTGTTTGAAGATATTACCAGCGATATTCCGGAATCATAGTGTTTTTTTTTAGGAACAAATAATTCTTAAATCGAAATTACAATTAGGTCTCTCAGAATTTCATCATTGACAGTTTGGTTCAAAATGCCTTCTACAAATCTTTTCGTCTTTTGGCTTATCCGCATCCTACAATGACATTGTGATGTATGAGTCATCATTAGTTCTTACCACCAGAAACTGGCACATTTATTTACTTTAAACGGTAATAACACGCTTCACATAAAGGGTATCAAGATCAAATACCATAAATAGATCTTGTTATAAATGATGAGATAGTTGCAGATCCTAATATTACCTTCTAAAATGTCATAAATTACATAATTTTATATAATGATATCAAGAGTGGTAATGATAATGAAAAATGTAAAGGATTACTTTATCAGTTCAATGAAAAACTAAAAAATTTGAAAAATTTTTTAGTTTTTCATTGAACTGATAAAAAAAGACCTACAGCAAAATTATGGATACAATATTTTAAAATGGTGTCGATTGCAAAGAAATTCGTAAGTGATTAACGCATGGAGATAGGTTGGCTTGAAGAGCATCTTCTTGCTCTAAATGGAACTCTAAAAAAAATTGTTTGTATAGACAAGTATAGATATAAATTTTTTAAAAAATATACAGAAATGTAAGAGTCAATCTTTTTTTCTTTCAGTATTTACTTCTGCTAGTCAACACTTATATCCAGTACACTATCAAGTTTAAGTTTGGATAGACAATCAATAAAAGAACCCAGCAGACTAGGGGTGGAAATTTATAGGTAATACATTGGAGTCGATTCAAAATTTACTCCCCTCTGCTCTGGAAATACTTCTTAACACCATCTTTTTCGTACCAGAGCTTGTGTGAGTGAAACCAGTTTTTGGTTTAAAATATCTAGTTTATTCTGCTGCAACGAAGTGAATGAATAGGCTGAAAAAAAGAAAGCACAAAATGTTTGGCGTAAAATTTATAAAATTGTTACCCTTGAATTCAAAGAATGGGCGGAGTTGGTCTGATGACGTAGCAAAAAATGTTACTGCACGCATTGAGTATGAACATGATTTAGTTGCTGCTGAGACTTTTAAAAAATATACAGAAATGTAAGAGTCAATCTTTTTTTCTTTCAGTATTTACTTCTGCTAGTCAACACTTATATCCAGTACACTATCAAGTTTAAGTTTGGATAGACAATCAATAAAAGAACCCAGCAGACTAGGGGTGGAAATTTATAGGTAATACATTGGAGTCGATTCAAAATTTACCCCCCTCTGCTCTGGAAATACTTCTTAACACCATCTTTTGCAATCGCAAAAAGGGTTGTAGTGCAAAATGTACCTGCAAAAAAGTCAGGTTATTGTTGTTATATATATATATATATATATATTATATATATATATATATATATATATATATATATATATATATATATATATATATATATATATATATATATATATATATAATATATATATATATATAAAATATATATAATATATATATATATATATATATATAAAATATATATATATATATATAAAAAATATATATATATGATATATATATATATATATATATATATATATATATATATATATATATATATATATAATATATATATATATATATATATATATATATATATATATATATATATATATATATATATATATATATATATATATATATATATATATATATATATATATATATATATATATATATATATATATATATATATATATATATATATATGATATATATATATATATATATATATATATATATATATATATATATATATATATATATATATATATATATATATATATATGATATATATATATATATATATATATATATATATGATATATATATATATATATATATATATATATATATATATATATATATATATATATATATATATATATATTGACTGACTAACAAAAATATTTAAAAAACTTCAACAATCAGTCTTTATCTTTATTCATCAACTTATTTTTTATATTATTTATTATGCACTTTAGGCATTTATCGATTCTCAATAAAAATTCTCAAAATCAAGTCTCAGGAAATAATTTAAGCAATACATATAAGCTATATACCTATATATACATGAAAGTAACAAAAAATGCATTAAAATTACAGCTGCATTTAGTTAAATTTTTTTTAAAAGAGATATGCTAATGCTTGCCATTATTAAGAAAAAAAAGAAACTTTTAAATTAATTAATTTAAATAATATTTTCATTTAAGTTTAACATTTATTTTTTTATAGAAGATTTATGCTATGGATAACAAAACACTTGACCACAATAAAATTGCTCATAACATTGTTAATGCTGTGGTTCCATCATCATTTATGAAAACGAACAAATGCTCTCAACAAATATACAAGAAAGTGAAACATCATATTTTTGAAGATGCACTTAAGTTGCTTCAAAAAAAGCAGCATGTTACTGATATAATTTTGACACAAAAACAGAAAATTCAAGCAATACTCCACAGTGAAATTTTATTGGCAGAGCAAAAAAGTTTAAATGTAAGTTCACAAATTTAAAATTTTTGTTTTTAAGTTTTTTTTACCTTAAGATCATTAGTTTGTGCATACAATTTTTATTTTTTAACAATAGATTTTTATTATTACAATTATTTAATATACTTTTTGTATTGTTTTAGGATTAGGTGTTATAGATATATTATTTTTATTTAAATAATAATAATTATAAAAAAGCCCAAAAGCTCCAGGAAATGTTTATTTAAATATAAATAGGGATGTCAGGCTTGGGCAGGAAGGTGTGTTATTTCACATCATAATATGACCACTTAATTACTATTTGGTTTTGAAAACTTGACTGCAGCTGTTATTTAAAATAAAATTAGCAATAAAAACAATAAATGTTTTATATAAATATTTTTAATCACTTAAAGTATAGGTAATGCATCTTTTAAATGAAGCTGAGTTTTGCCATCTAACAACAGGTGGGTGGACATCACAAACTTCGCATTCATACATTAGTGCCACTATACATTTTGTTGATCAAATTTTTTGTTTAAAACCGATTTGCATTGCATTAAAGCATAGCCCAAAAGCTCATACTAGCCTATATTTAAAGGAGCAAATCGAGTTAATTCTAAATGAATGGAAAATAATAAAACACTTTCAACAAGTAGTGACACTGCTGAAAATATCAAACATTGTCTAGAAGATCTAATTAATAAATTGTTTTTGTTGTATATTAAATTTAATTGTTAAAAATGTTCTTGTAAAAGAGAATCATCAACTGAAGAAAACCATAGTGTCTTCATAATTTTAAAACACAATTCAAGATCTACAAAACGGATTTTATAACACATCAATTAAATATAATTAGAATAACTTAAGTTCATTTAACCGTATTTTTATAATGATGTAATTGATGTCAATTATTTAGTTTTAAGAAAGTTTTAGTACGGCTTATTCTCGGATAATACTCTTTGAAAGAATGTAGTTGTCGAGGTACTTTGGCCTTTTAATAGTACATCCTGTTCTTGAGGATATTTTAGGTTGTGTGTCAGAAGTAGTAATCTTTTAAATAGATGGTTGGTTAGGTACTGTTATAGTGGGTTGATCATTAGAGAAGCCATCCTTTATTGGATTCTCAAACCGATGCAGTAGGTTTGAAACTACTTTGTTGGTATCATTTAATTCAACTTGTTTTCTATGTCCAGAATTGTGGCTGTTGTTACTAATGACAATTTCGTCATTGTTCGAGCATTCAGACTGTTGTTGGACTAGTTCTATTAAAGAATTTCTATCTTGTAGTGGGGCAAGATCTTTTGTTGAAACCGTATCAATTTTTCCATTTTGAAGTTTGACATGTGCGAAGTGAGGCGATTGTTTCTAATAGTTGAACTCTGTCCACAAGATCTCCTTTAAATCATATCTGACGTCTGTATAAAATTGTCAAATCCTCTGTTAAGAAGTTTGGTAGAACCGTACCTATTATTGATGAACAATGAAAGTTCATCATCCTCTGGTGAGGTGTTCCTTAGTACCAGTACACAGAAGTCCTCTTATAGAGGATAGAGCCATTTGCAATGCTACCTCCCATTTATCTTTTCCTAGTCTCAATGTTTTCAGGGCCAGACTAACAGCTATAAGTATTGTTCCATACATTCTTTCACATTGACCTTTGCCTTGTGGTAATATGGAGTAGTTCGAGTTCAAATCACACTGTTTCTTTCTAGGAATATTTTAAGTTTTATACTTTCAAACTGTGTTTCTCGATCTGGTTGCATAGATGATGGTGCACCAAATAATGAAAAAAGACTGAGAAGGTATTGTATCACAGTGTCGGCTGTAAAATCCTTACAAGGGAATGCAAATGGGTAGCGAGAGTATTTGTCTACTACCACTAGGATGTATTTATTAGCTGAGGTGGATTGTAAAGGTCCAACAAAGTCCATATATAAGCGTCCCCAAGGTTTCGTTGCCTGAATAAGACAACCAGTTGGAGGTTTGTAGAAGCGCGATTTGAGTTCGTTACAGGTTGTACATTATCTTGTTAGTTGTTTATTTTCAGCGGTAGAGTAAGGTAGATTCCGGGTTTTGCAATAATGTATCGTTTTTTTAATTCCAGGATGACATAGTTGGGAATAAATATTGTAAAAGGTTTTATTGGTGTTTTGAATTGAGCAACATTGAGAATTAGGAAAAGTTTAGGGAAATGGATCTTTGGTCTGTAATTATAATGATATATGGTACTGAATCAATTAGGTGTTTCCATCTTCTACAGCATTCTACAATGGCAGCTGCTTCTTTCTCGGCAATTGCGTGTTTTCTTTCAGCTTTTGTTAGTGTTCTTAAGAAGAAGGCCATGGGTCTGCCTAGTTGAAGTAATGTTCCTCCTAGTGCTGTGTCAGAGGCATCTGTTTCAATAGTTAGTGGAACTTTGAAGTCGGGTGAGGCTAGGCAAGCTTCTGCAAGTTTAATTTTGAGCTTTTTAATTGCTTCTTTTGCCTGTGGGGTCAAGCCCCTAGTTGGAAAGTTGTCTCTTGCTTGAGTAAGCGGTAGAGTAAACTCGGTACAGTTGTATATCCATTTTGCGTAGTAGGCGAATAAACCTATCATTAGGTTTAATTCTTTTAAGGTTTTTATTTCTGACATATTCATAAGGGCTTCACATCTATTAGGGTGGAGTTTTAAGGTTCCATTTTCAATGATATGGCCTAAAAATTTGATGTGAGTTTTTTTAAATTTGCTTTTTTATTTATTTATTTCTACGTTGGCGATTTGAGCTGTGTGTAGGAAACCGCTAAGATTTTTATTGTGCTCTTGAACATCTTTTCGACCAATAATTATAATGTTGAGGTAAGCATATGTATTTTCTAGTTTATTATTCTGAATAAATTCATCCATAATCCGCTAAAAAATTGGTACAGCATTTATGCAACCAAAAGGTAAACATTTAAACTTGTATAGTCTGCCATTTGCTTCAAATGCGGTAAGCTTTTTATCTTCAGGTCGTATTTTTACCTGATGGTAAGCCAATTTGAGGTCAATTGTACTGAAGACTTTATGAGTAGCTATCTTAATTATCAAATCGTCATTTCGAGGTGATGGGTATGAATCAAGTGGAGTGTGTAGATTGATTGTATTCGAATAATCAATCACAAGATGATTTTTGTTTCCTGATGATACTACAAACATTGCACGCCAAGGGCTACGGCTCACTTAGATCATATCTTGCTTTAACATACGGTTTATCTCGTCTTTTATGAAGGAGTTATTTTTAGGAACTTGTTGTGATGTTGTAGTGACTGGCTTAATTTTGTCAATATCCACTCCAGGTATTAATGCGTAAGTAGTACACTTCATGCTTTTTGTTGCCAGACAGAACTTTAAGGGCTCTTTATTTTCTTTAAAATTGATTGTAATTGAAGTATGTTGTGTTAACATGTCCATTCTGATAATTACCAGTGCTACTAAGTTGTCTACAACAAGGAATTGCACTTTCAATTTTTCGCAAGCTGATAACAATGAGCCTTGGAAAATTCCTTTAACTTTTAATGTCAAATTATCTGCCAATGATACTTTCGAGGTAAATTAAGTATCATAAGGAAGGTTCCAATGTTGAAGAAGTTCTGATGTAATAAACGTTTTATTGTAGCCAGTATCTATCAGTGCCTGTGTTGTTTTTTTGTTAATAGTGACGTTAAATAGTCTACCAGGTGAGTCGATTGCTGACCTTAGATACTATTGCGTTATCATTTTCTTTCTGATGTTCTTTAACAACTGCTGCTTTAGTGTAGGTTTTATTTTGTTTCATTGAGAGGTAGACAATTGCCCAGTGGCCCCTTCTTTGACAATGCATACAGGTGGAGTTTTGCGCTGGGCATTTAATTTTTGGATGTGGATCATTACCACACCAGTAACAATGAGATTTCATAAGGTTTCGACTTGCCGCAAAAGTTGGTAGCATAGTATTAGCTGTCGTGGTTGTTGTCAAATTAAGAGCATCTTCAATAGCTAGTTCCATTGTTAGCGCTGTTTTATAAAGTGCCTCTAGATTGTCTTCTGTAGCTTCGAGGAATCGTCAAATAGGTGAGTAAATTCCAGCGACAAAAGCATCGCAAATTAGTAAATGTTCTGCTTTTAGAGGTTCTGTTGGACATTTTCTTGCAAATTGTTTCAGGCTACTCATGAAGCTTTCAACTGTTTCTCCTTCTTGTAGCTTAAAAGAGCAAAGTTTGTGGCGCATCATAATAGGTGTTGATTATTTTTGATATTTGTTATCAAGTATTTTGATTGCATCATCATATGATGTAGTATCTTGGATTATTGTGAAAGCTTTCATACCAGATAGTACAAATAAAACTTGGAGTTTGCAATCTTCGTCTATGTTAGCTTTATTTAAATATATTGATAGCATTTTTTTCCAGTATATATACTCTTCTTCGTTTGGTTCGTCGCATAGTACTTTTTAAAATATTTTTGCATCCATAATGTAAATAATAATATTTGATTAAGTTGTTGTGAAACCATAATAAATAAGTCTATATTAAATATTTTTAGCTTTTATCAAATATTAAGTCAAACACAATTAAAGATCTACAAAACGGATTTTATAACACATCAATTAAATATAATTAGAATAACTTAATTTCATTTAACTGTATTTTTATAATGATGTGATCGACGTCAATTATTTAGTTCAAATACATAATTCTTAAGAATATAACAATGATATATATTAAATTTAATTATTAAAGATGTTCTTGTAAAAGAGAATAAGCCATCAGCTGAAGAAAACCATTGCTTCTTCATATTTTTAAAGAAATGTAGGAAACTTGTTGGCTTATTTAAACATAGTAATAAGCTTTCTGCTCAGCTAGTTAGTTATGTTGAGTTAAATAATATGAAAATTGACAATCTGAAATAAATGTTCAATTAAAAAATTAAAACAACAAGATGTGTATACTCGGTGGAATTCTACCTTTTTAATGTTGCAGTCAGTTTTTAAACTAATCAAAGACGTTATAATCAATTGTTTTGCAATG